CAGAGGGAAGTGAATTTCTCCCCCATATTGCATGCCCCACCCGCGATTCACACATGACCCACCTTGGCTTGTGACATCCTGCTTTCTCATTCACCAGATGAAAAAAAATGAGGCGTATTCAGTTTAATAGTGCCTTTTAAGTGGCTCAAGGCTGAACATGTGTGCAAATAGCTAGTAGACCAGAAGCCCTGAAGCGTCCAAGCCTTTGTCATTGGTGCCCCCTGCAGTGGGGCATGTCAGGCTGTGGGGGCTAATTATTTGATTGGTTTTGGGCTCAGGGTGGAAAGTGTAAGGCTTCTACAAGTGACCTACAGGGATAGACCTACAGGGATAGATTAGCTCCAGGGATAGTCCATCCAGTCTGAGAGTTATTCTGGTCTTTTACTCCTCGCCATAGAAACACAGAGTCACAGAACAACAGGGCTAGATGGGCTTGGAAATCATCTAGTCCAGCATTTCTCAATCGTTAGTCACATAAACCATTCATTGTTTTGTAGAAATGTGTTCTAGTCTTTGATGGTTTTAGAGAAACTGGCTTCTTTTTCAAAGCTAAATTATTTTAAAAAATGTATCATCATGGCCTTAAGTTAAAAAATCAGTGTGATTTTATAGAAATAGAAGATAACCATAAAACAAACAGATCGACCACCACCTTGTTAGGAAATTCTGTCCAGTTGTTTGAGCCTTCAGCCTGCCCAATTTTCACTAATAAGGGAGTTCAAAAATGAAGCAAGTGGTAAAGGAGTATTATCCTCAACTGGAGTATTCTTTCTGATGGAGTCAGGGAGATCAAAAGGGACTTGAAAAGGTCATCAGTTTCTCACTATCTGATTCAGTGTTATTCAGTGCCCTGCCCCTGTATTCTAAAATCATCTTGGACTTCCTGAGTTGTCGTGTGTGCCCCATGCTGTAGGGAATAGCATTCCCTACATTCACATGTGGAGAAACTGAGGCCTCTTCTCTCTCCTTCCTGACAGTTACCTTTGTGCCACGTCACTACTGCTTTGCCTCTTACCTAGCAGTTTGGCTAGGGGAAGGGAAAAGAAATGAAACATAAAAGAAGTCAGAGGCAGAGCTGACAGATGGTGCTTTTGACTCTACGAAGTTGGAGCTTCCCTGGTTTTCAATTACACCTGCTCTTCCTGTCCTCCGTTACTGGAAGACATAGATGGTAGCCCTACCCAGAAGCTGAAAGAAATAGAAAGTTGCCCCCCACTTCCATAAGGAAAACTCCTGACTGGCTCCACCACCACCCAAGACATTTAGATCAGGAACCTTCTAGAAGGATGTAGCCATACGAAGGGAAGCATCTCCAGTTGTCTTGCCAAAAAAAGCACTGTGTGAGAAAAGAGCAGAGCCATCTAAATCTAATTCACCCTTGGAGTAGGCCATAGAAGCTGTGCTAATGGAATTCTAAATCCTCTGGCAAACTGTATGGATTTTCAAAAGGAGGTGGAGAAATCCTTTTTGTCCTGTTATCTTCTCAAGATGGATTTTTAGTTGAAAATCCTTCCTTAAAAAAAAAGATAGGATAAATGTAGTCATACACTTAACTAAGCTCTTTATTCCATTGACTGTGATCTGGAATAAGCTTTTGAGACGTTTCTTCAGACAGGAGGGGAAGGGACAATCTTGGAGAAATACCCTTCTTCATCATATTTTTAAGGATGACTCTGATTATATCAAACACCGCTTAGTGTTTCATTTTAATTTTCTGTTACTCTTTGGGGAAAAGGTACTGTGTGCATTTTTAAAAAAGTTTCTTTTCCACATATATTATAGGATGGAATTAAAAGGGTATGCATCTTAATCTTTGCGACGTGGGTGCCTACATCTGATACCTATAATGTGAATGAGATTGCTTTCTTCACTCTCTGACTTTGTTACCTCATCTGAACGGCTCAGGCCATTATTCATGTTGATGGAAATGAGAAAAATTCAGATGCCTATCGACTTGTGTCTGCATTTGTTCATAAAAGAAAGGCTCCCCTCAGCCCTGTGTAGGCCCTTTCCTCAGAGACACAGTGGGAACTTTGTAGTCAAGAAGGCTTGCACGGACTTTCTGACCCTGAGATCCGGACAGGGATCCTCAAGCTTTCTGAGCCTCAGGTCTTCATCTGTAAAATGGGGATAAGGATATCTATTGTGTCAAAATATTGTCACAATTAAAATAAGGTGGTATAACTAAAGCTCATAGCACAGGGTCTGACATTTAAGCATGCACTAGGTGGTGGCTACTATTATTATGTATTACTACATTGGAAAAGCCACTTGAGCTAAATCAGAATACTTACCAGCTCTGGGGTCAGAGGGAAGACCGGACTCACTTCTTCGTTCATCACTGTATCTCCAGTCCCAGTTCCGCTAGCATGTAGCAAACTCTCGGTTTTTTTTTTTTTTTTTGGATGAATGTTTGAATGGTTGTGGCATTACCCCTCATTAGCTGTGCGATCTTGGGTAAGGCATGTCACCCCTCGTGAAGTGTCCAGAGCAGAGGCTGGCACATGCTATGCTCTCCCCACGGGTGTCCTCCAGTCTCTACGGTCCTTCACTTTTGAGGATCCCAGATAAAGAATTGGGATCGGCATTTCCTGGGGAAGATGGCAAGGGAGACTTCATTCAAGGGGGTGGAGAGCTACTACGATGGCGGTTTGCAATAGGAGAGAGAGATTGGGCCCAACTCTGAATGCAGCTAGGGAAACCAGAAATCGGTGGGTAGGTCAGTAGCTGGAAAATCAGGAAGAGGAAATACCAGAGTAAGGGGGTTCCTGCCCTACAGGCCAAACCGGCTTCTTGGCGAGGGCTGGCCAAGGTGGTCAAGACACCAGCTGGGGGATGGTGGAGGATGAGAAAATGGAGCAGATATCAGTGGTGATGAGTTATTAAGGGTGGGAATTCTGGCCAAAGTGGCTTAGCAGGATTCTTGCTGAAAAGGACAATGAAGAGACAACAGTCCAGGCCTAGCTGAAAAAGAGCCCAGAAGAGCCTGAGCAGAGCTTAGCCCGGCAGAGAGTCTCTGTCAATACCTCCCCCAGTCCTGGCTGGAAAGGAGCAGAAAGTGAGCTGGGGTGGGTTCCAGAAAGCTACGTGAATGTTGAAAACTGAACAGGGTGCATCCAAGGTGGAGCATGGGAGTGGGAGCGAAGTTTTGGAGGGGCCTTCTGGAAGCAAAAGTAGCATGGCTGAAGATCAGGAAATAAGAGAGAGTGTGACATTTCTAGGAACCGCAAGAGACTCAGTCCAGTTTGTATGCTGCAGAGGGGTAGGAAGTGGCAAGAGGTGGCACAGGACCAGATACCCTCAGAGTTTGGACTTCGTCCTGAAGCACGGGGGGGCTCCATCACTGGGTTTTCCTTCCAAGGGAGTAGATAATCAGCTCCTTCCAGAGGACCCTCTTGGGTGGTTTTAGCGCCCCACATGCCAGTAACAATGATGCTGGAACACACCTGCCCCCAATACACAGTCGCCTTGCAGCCTGATCCAAATGAAGCATCTTTTCTGGCTGTAAAGCATCTTTTCTGTCTTAGTGTCCTGACATTAAAAACCCCTTTTGGGCTAAGAACATGCATTTTGGGGCTTGAGAGAATGTCAGAAATCACATACACTTGCCAGCCTAAGTCTAGCTCAGTGGACTCTCCTGAGTGGCACCTGGGAAGTTTTAAAGGAAAGAAATACCCTTTCCCCGGCCACCCTCAGAGATTCTGGTTCAGTTGTCTGGGGGTGGAATGGGGCATCGGCATATTTTAAAGCTCCCCAGCACAGCCAGGGTTGAGAACCACGATGGCGTGCGCCACGTAGCCACGTTTGCTCTTGAGAAGAGAATAGACCCCCCTTGCCAGATACTCCCGCCGAGACGCTGGACCAGCATTGCACCCCTTTCCGGCAGACCTTCAAAAGCTGCCTGTAGCAACTGCTGAGACCACTGCAGGCCCTGCCAGCTTCCTACAGGCAGGCCACCTTCTAAAGCCAGTAGGAGGCAGCTGGAGAAGGAGAGGGACCTCACGTCTCCCTGCTCACCTCTGGGCACCCTTTCACTCCCCAGCCATGTTCTCCATGCAGCACTAAGAAGCTCTGTGAAAGATTTGCTTTTCCCCTGAATTTACCTGGAAACTCCAAGAAGGCCTCATTAGCACATTACTCACACTCCCCCAATCCCACACATCACCTTCCTCCTCGCCCCCACCTCCAGAACTTTCTTTTTTTTTCTTCCCCCTACTTGCCCACTTAATCAGTGCAGTTGGGTTCTGTGCCCTGGGCCCTAGAAAAGCATATTTTTGGAATGGAAATGCCACCAGAAGAAAGCAGGTAACTAAGGGCTCCAGGGTCCCAGCTCATCACCTCTCATTGGCCTCCCGGCGAAATGCCATCCATCAGGTGTGCCGAGCAGTAAGCCCTCCACGTACTTCCCAAGGCGCTGCCCTGCTTTATGCCTTCCACGCTGAGACAGCAGATCCTTAGCTTGGTGCCCCTGGGTTGTTTCCCACAGCAATTAGCTGTGCCCTGTGTTAATTCCAATCAATAACCCGCTGCCACTGCTCTTATGCCTGGCTGGACGCTGCAGCCTCCATGGCACATTTTGGAAGTAACTTGCTGGGGCCGTGAGACTCTGCACACCCTGCCTCTCCCCAGGAAAGCCCTTGACAGGCTTCCTCCTGACAGCCAGTATCCTTCACTGAGTGTCGGGGGCAAGGGACAGGGTGAGCAAGCGGGCGTCCCAACACCTCTTTCATGTCCGGTGACAACTCGGGAGCCGAACCAGCTCCCCTCTGGGATCCATCCCTTGGGATATCCACAAAGCTTTCATTTTCCTATTTTGGCTTTTTTAGAATTCTTTTTTTTTTTTCCTTTTTGTTTGAGATGGCCGTCTTTTTCTTCCATCTAAAAAAACCCTCTCTCCTTCAGATCAGTCCTTTTTTTTCTTTTCTTTTCTTTTCTTTTTTTTTTTTTTTTTTATCACAGAACCACGGTTTCTCATTTCTTGCCTCTGTTGCTTCCTTCAGCTCCCTGTGGACAGAATGAGACCCGGGAGGATGGCAAAATAATTCAGTTGCCTCCCTGCAAGACGGGAGCCTGGATTGTGCCGGCCATCATGGCCTGCTACCTTTTAGTGGCAAACATCCTGCTGGTCAACCTGCTCATCGCTGTCTTTAAGTAAGTGGGTTCTTCCTCGGAGGTCTTGGGACGGAGTGGGAGGCCAGGGGAGGGCAGGCTCTGGTGCCTGAGAAAGGAGTGGCATCTCTCGCTTGATTCTCTCTCATCTCTATTTCAGCAATACATTCTTTGAGGTAAAATCTATATCCAACCAAGTGTGGAAGTTTCAGAGGTATCAGCTTATCATGACTTTCCACGAAAGGCCGGTTCTGCCCCCACCTCTGATCATCTTTAGCCACATGACCATGATCTTCCAGCATCTGTGCTGCCGATGGCGAAAACATGAGAGCGACCCAGATGAGAGGGACTACGGCCTGAGTAAGCTTCGGGTGACGGCCCTGGGCCACCACAAAGCAGGGATTCCTACCACCTCCTGCAGACTGTCATGTAGGACCCCATGCCCACCTGGTTATGCCTATAGGACTTCATGAAGAAACCAGCCCTGCTCTCTATTAGTCAAAGGAAAAACAGAAACACTCCACGATCCACCTTCTACCCAGTGTTTCTAAAAGGAGGTTCTATTGGCATTGGGGTGGAATAATTCTTCACTGCGTGGGATTGTCCCACACATCACAGAAGATTTAGCATGCCCGGCCTCCACACATTGAATACCAATAGCTCCTGCAGGTCCCTAAATGTCCCTCAGTACCCACCCACACTTAGGAACCACTGGAGTCCAGCCCCATACAGGCAAGCTCCTGTGGTTTCTCCAAGTGTTAAATAGAGCACCTACATTAAATCTACTGGACCAGAGCCTCTGGGATTGGGACTCAGGGGGTACCTCTTGGTGATCACTAGTGCACCAAAGCTGAAACCAAAGCCACTTCCTCAATGGCTTCTCAAAGTCTGAAGCTTTTAACAACTTCCCTGACAAAACAATGCCCAGCTTCGTTCTAGACATTAAAACTAGTGAGTCAAAGAGGGCCTGGAATTCCAGAAGTTACTGTTTTCACTAGAAACACAAATCTAGGCAAATAGAAAGCTTAGTGGGAAAAGGGTTCACATTTCCACGGGGCTCTTTCTACGGCTGTATCAGTTATGAATTACTCTCCCTGATAGTTATAGAAAACCGGACTAACAACAACACAAATCAATAAAGTTGTATTTTTCTCGTGTAACCAAAAGTGAAGGGGTAGGAGTCCAGAGCTCAGCAGTGGCTCCCTGAAGTCAAAGACCCTGCATTCCGTTTTAGGCTCTGCTCTTCCTTCTTGCACTGTCTTATCTCGTGGGAGCAAAATAGCTGCTGTCTTCCCAGTCATCACATTCGTGTTCCAGACAGGAAGAAGGGGAAGGTGAGAAAATGTGGAGAGAAGCAGCTCCCTCTGAAGAGTTTATCAGGAAGGCAGAACCTCTTCCCAGCACACCACCCCTCCCTGCAGCACACTTCTTTCTCTGGAGCCAAACTGGGTCTTGTGGTTGCTGCCAACCTCAGAGGAGGCTGGAGATGTGTGGATGTGGCTTTCCAGCCTCAGCTGTGGGCGTCTGCCACACTCTACAAACCAGAAACTGAGCTTTTGAGTAACCTGCTTTTTCTTTGACTTAGCTCCTTTCTCAGCCTTGCAATGTGTATAATGCGAACCCGTCCCTGCAGTAAACCAGACACACTCAGAACTTCAGGGCTCCAGAGTGAGCCTAACGCACAGAAGGAGCACAAGGACAGAGGTCACCCAACTGGGTTGGGAGTTAGCCTGACACTTAGTAAAGAATTTCAGCCCCTTTTCTGAACGTTGATTAAGTGAGGAATGTCATTAGGCCCACAGATCAGACGCCATTGCTTGTCCTTCCTGTCTTACATTGCTCACTTTTTTCCCACAGAATTGTTCATAACTGATGATGAGCTCAAGAAAGTACACGATTTCGAAGAGCAGTGCATAGAGGAATATTTCAGAGAAAAGGATGACCGATTCAACTCGTCCAATGATGAGAGGATACGGGTGACTTCGGAAAGGTATGTTCCATGGGCACACGCCTCTCACAAGGATGTTTGTGTCATGGCATGCCTTACCAGCTGTGTTTGTTTGCAGCCCCCAAAACAGAGATTCCCCATGTGTTTATCTTTATTTTCCAAGCTTATGAGAGAATGGAACATTGTCTGAAGCATCTATAGACCAAAATCCCATACTCAGAGATCCTGGACTTCTCCAGGAGGCAATAGCACCCACTCTCCTGGACACTAGGTTGTTGAGTCTAGGACAGGTTCAATGGCTCAGACCAGAAATTGGAACATTCCCGCCCAGACACCAACCAAGAGAGACCCAGCCCAAGGTCTCTACTTGGGCTGGGTCTCCAGCAGGTTGGTGTTTCATGTAGATCTCCAGACATCTTTTCAGGAGGAGTAGAACAGTCCTCGTACCTGGTTCATATGGACATTCAGTGCCTCTGAATCAGCAGCAGCCAGAGACTTCTGAATTAGGTACAATAATGGATGAGGATTTTTTCCCGAATTATTTTGTTTTGTTCTTTTTATAGAACAATATGAAAACAAATGAAGAGAAGCAGATTCTTCTAGCCAGTGGTGATATACTTGCAGATCTCACTGGTCAAATAGTTTTGTGGACCAGTAACACTATAAGAAAAAAAAAAAATCCCAAAATATAAAGAAAGAATCCTGGAAGTGTAATTAATCTAGCTTAATGCAAAGGGATTTACATTTTCTGATTTTTCTCATTTTGCTGTAGACTAATAAACACTTCATTCTGGGCTGGCATGTTCAAAACCCAGCATTTGGGAACCATTCTGGTAAAGACTTACAAAGCTTGGTGTAACTTTCAGTTGTAAGCATTTGAGACATGAAGATGGCACTATTATAAATAGTGGGGAAAGGCATTATATTGATGACTTCAGTTGATATGATTTAGACTTCTAAGATATGAATCAGTGACCTCGAGTTTTCAAGAAATGACATTTTATCTGTTAACCCGCTTTGTGCACTCTCTAGTGGCTCTGTAGAAATTACGCAAGCAGCATTCTTCTGTCCCTGGCTCTTCATTTCTTTGAAGAATGCAGTCTAGATAAGCAGGTATATACACACATGCCCATGAGTGATTGTATCCATTGGTACTCCGCCAGTATTAACAAAGTTTAAAGCTGCGCACAAATTTTATGCACATCTGTCATTGCACAACAGAGCATTCTAGGACGATATGATGTGAAGCAATTTTCTGGCAAACAGAGGAAGGAGCTGTAAATCTAAAAATCTCTTATTCTAAGGTCTTGAAAAAGCTATTTATTAATGGACATATAGCCATGTGGTTTCCAGAAAACTGTGCCACGTGGACACATTGCCTGTTGCTCAAACATTTCCAAAGCATATGTGCACGAGACTTTGAAATGCTTTTTGATCTCAAAAAGCTACAGACCTGGGATCAAAGAAAGGTAGGGGGAAGGAGTATTGAGATGCAAGGAAGCCTTCACCTCTCTGGGGAACTAGAATGAGAGGTATTGGCACCAGAGCCTGTGAACATGTTGTGACCATGCCACCAGTTCCTTGGCACTGGATAGAAACAGGAAGGAACTATATATAACACCTTACCTGAGCCTCTCATGCCCACCTGTAAGCACTTGCAGGAGACTCCTTCCCCAAGACCGTCTTCCTCTGGGTGTGGTTACAGAGCTCTGCCCTCAAGGACGATGACCAAGGTGAGCAATTTCCAGAAATTCAGGACAGATCACAGGCACCCCCTTCCTGTGTCTTAGGCATTAAGTAGCTTTCTGGAGAAGTGGAGGCCTGGATGACCAGGACAAGCTCACGACCAAGCTCAGGTGCCAGAGACGTGCATCTAAGCCCAGGTCTCATCCTGCTTCTGTTGCTTCTGTCTGTGTTTGTTTGGGGTTTGACTGTTGGTGGTGGTGGTAGTGGTGTAGTGGTTTGTTTCGCATTTGCAAGTGTACCAAAAAATCGTTAAAAACTAGAATTGCACTCTGCACAACAGACACCACAAGGTGCCTGAGGGAACAAACATCAACCAAGGGAACAGAGGACCCAGCTTCCCCACCTCACATGCGCTCTAGCGCACCTCCTTTCTGAGTGGAATGCAGGTGAAATCACATGTCCTATTTGCTTTCAACAGATAGACAACATATAATAGATAATAAGTGATAGATAATACACATAAATATAATACACACACATTTGGATAGTTACATGTTTAATTTACGTAATTAACTGTACACATATGAATAAGATATTATATAATTCTCCCTTCATGTTAAACAGCCCCAATACAGGGATTTGAGATCAGAAAAATTAAGACCTGGCTCTGCTCTGCTAAAAGACTTGGGAAAAGGATTTCTTTACATAGCGAGCCCCACATTCCTCTCTTTGCCACCGCCTGTAAAATATAACTTATTTATATAAGTTTTACTTGCATAAATCTTTTTAGAAATACAAAGATACTTCCATAATTGTCAACTTAAATGCATCATTCCTAAGTCATATTTTTGCACCCAAATGTTATATAAAGAGTGCAATACAATATTCGAGAGATCACTAACACCTCTTAGGAATTGATTCTGAAAAGTCCTTCTTTTCTCCATTATATTCATTTTGTCTCATTGTTGACTTGATAAGTATACCTGCTATGCCTTCACCATAATTCCCCAGATGCCCACCAGCACAGATCAGGTGAACCAAGACAGAACCAAGACATTGGTATGACTCTAAAAATACCTTCCACTGACAGTATTGGCCCCTGTTCCACCACCTCTCCTTTTGTTAATAACCAGCCAGATATCCACATTTCTCCCCTCAGCCCAGTGTGTCAGCCTCCCTGCTAAAATCGCTAGGTACTCCATCACAAACATTATGCATCTGTGTTACTGTATTGGTCTAAATTATCAAGACAAGATGACTGCTGTGCCCATAAATTCTCCTGTTAAAGAACTCTACCTTTTTAAAGTACTCAAAAAGTGCCATCTGCTTAACTATATACTACTGAGCTATTCTGTAATGCTGCCTAGAATTTATGTCAAACTCATATAATTCCTATAATTCAGGAACTTTTCATATCAGAAAAACCTTTTCCTATCTCCAGTCTCCCGGCATTTCTTTTTTATTTCCCACTGGTTATTAAGGGTTGCCTACATTTTCTAGTGATCGCAGCTGCAAGTTCTTAACTCCCTTAAAGCAGGGTTTGCAAACTGGTGGCTCTTGGGCAACATCTGCCCACAGAGGGCTATTGGGTTAGGCTTGCAGTGATGGTTGAAATCTGTTCTGAGTGCCTCCGGCCTGGGCATCCCCTCTGCTGCCACAGCATCCCTGCTTCTGTCCTCACATGCTGCCCGGCTTCACCTGCTTACTTGATCTGCCCCCCCCATAGGCATTTAACTCTCAGACCCATGACTTAGAGCTTCCAGATCACCCTCCCCATCACCCCACCTGTCAAGTTCCACTTGTCAGAAGAAGTTGCAGTTTGATTTTTCTTCTCTCCAGTAACCATTTAAGCGAAGAAGGATATACATGGTTTCTAGCATCACTTATCGAACATCATCATTCCTGAGCCAAAGGGCTTTGTGCCCTTTGTGCTCTTCACCTAGATCAAAAAAAAAAAAAAAGGAACAGTCATGTGACTATTAATAGTGTATTCAACTTCTAATTTTCATAACAAAGGGAGACAAGAATAACTTCAGATATATGAGACTCATAAGTAATCAAAAACTAGTGTAAGCCAAGAAAGATGAGCTTTACCCACCTCCCAACCATATCTTTTTTCCAGTGCTGATCTTTGGTAGCTCTGCTAATTGAGTTGGATTTAAATTGTGTTCCCTTTTCCTTCCCAGGATGATGAGAAAGATGATTGGCCCAAAGGGAAGGGAAGGTGACCCCAAGGGAATTGAATAATTCACAAATTAGGTGCCAGTCTATGGAGAAGCCAGAGTTTGACTTATTTGTTCTGCATCATTGCCTTTCATTTGAAAACCTGTGTGAGCATGCCCTCTCCCCCAGCAAGAGGCCCTGTGATTGGTTGATGTGATATGGGATTGTGTTTGCCCCTCATCCTATAGCCATCCTACTGCTAGCACTCCAGGGAGGTTGTTTTATTTTTTTTTAATTCAGTTTAATTAATATACAGTGTATTATTCATTTCAGAGGTAGAATTGAGTGATTCCTCAGTTGCATACAACACCCAGTGCTCATTACTTTAAGGGCCCTCCTTAATGCCCATCCCCCAGTTACCCTCTACCCCCCACCTCCCCCCCCCCAGCAACCCTCAGTTTTTTCCCTAAAGTTAAGAGTCTCTTATGATTTGCCTCCCTCTCTGTTTCCATCTTATTTTATTTGAGATCTAAAACAGACATGGCAGGGCACCTGGGTGGCTCAGTTGATTGTCTGCCTTCAGCTCAGGTCATGATCCCAGGGTCCCAGGATCAAGTCCAAATAGGGTTCCCCACCCAGTAGAGAACCTGCTACTCCCTCTCCCTCTGCCTCTCCCCCTGCTTGTGTGCTCTCTTCCTCTCTCTTTATCAAGTAAATAAATAAATCTTTTTTTATATATATTTTTTAAAGATTTTATTTATTTATTTGACAGACAGAGATCACAAGTAGGCAGAGAAGCAGGCAGAGATAGGAGAAAGCAGGCTCCCTGCTGAGCAGAGAGCCCGATGTGGGGCTTGATCCCGAGACCCTGAGATCATGACCCGAGCTGAAGGCAGAGGCTTTAACCCACTGAGCAACCCAGGTGCCCCATAAATCTTTTTTAAAAAATAAGTGAAAAAGGCATGGCCAACCAGTCCTCGTATTCCTTCCTTTTTTTTTTTTTTTTTAAGATTTATTTATTTATTTATTTGACAGACAGAGATTACAAGTAGGCAGAGAGGCAGTCAGAGAGAGGAGGAAGCAGGCTCCCCCCCAAGCAGAGAGCCCGAGGTGGGGCTTGATCAGGGCCCTGGGATCATGACCTGAGCTGAAGGCAGAGGCTTTAACCCACTGAGCCACCTAGGTGCCCCAGTCCTTGTCTTTCTTTTACTGCATTTCCTTTGACCACATTTTGAGGATATCAGGAAAGAAAATGAATTTGTAGAAAATAACAGCTCTTAAGAAATTGCACTTTGAAGCTGACATTTTCTGTGTCATTAGAAGCTTCTTGTGAAGGCTCTTTTCTTCATCATATTGGCCATTAGAAGCTTGTTGTCTTCTTCCCTGTGCTTTTCAACAACCCACTGCATGCCCTCTGGTCGGGTCCCAGCTGTCACTTTCTTGGGCACCCAGGGACAGGAGACGTCACATCCTTCCAGGACCCTGTCGTGCGTCTCTTGTGCTTGCCTCCGAAGTGATGCTGAGTAAGCCCTGTGGCGCCTAGAGATGTGAAAAAGGGAAAGAAGAAAAGAGTGTTCTTCCCACATGGCACCTTCCTTTCCGTGGTCCCTCTTTTTCATCCTTACTTAGTGACTTCCTGTATCTCTCTCCTTGAGACTTCCTATCGATTCATAAATTCTTACCATTCTTACTTCTGTTTTATCTCCTGAGTGGTTTGACCAGAGTCAGTAACTAGTGACTGCAATCATGACCCAGAACTCTCAGCTTGTCCCTCACACCTATTTATATCGGTGACGCACACCCATGTATAATCACTTCTCAAAAAAATGTTCTGGGAGGCCTGGGTGGCTCAGTCGGTTAAGCCAATGCCTTTGGCTCAGGTCATGATCCCAGGGTCCTAGGATCGAGTCCCGCATCAGGCCCCTTGCTCTGCGGGGAGCCTTCTCTCTCTGCCTCTCTGCCTGCTTGTGTGTGTGTGCCCTCTCTCTGAAAAATAAATAAATAAATAAGATCTTTTAAAAAAAATGTTTTAAGACGAAGGGAGGCACTCTGTTTATGGAACAAACATGTAAATTTGATTCCAGGATCTTTTCTTCTCTTCAACTGTTGGATTAAACGTCTACAGTTATATTCACGACCTAACTGAGCATACAGTTTGGTGGTTAAACACATCCAGAAATCCAGAAGTTGGAAGAAACAGCCCCTCCCCCCAGTTCTTACTTTTCCAAACACCTCAGACCCCACAGGAGAGCCGGCTGAGGAGAGATTGGCAACGAATAGCTCCGTGGTTCTGTTCAGGCTGTCTTCGCAACCCCCTCCACCTCTTCCATTCCCTGGGGCCATGCTCCTTTCCTTTGAGTCCCCCCCCCCACCTCTTTGTTTTCCTTGAAAACCCTCTTCCTCCTTGCACCACCTGTCTGTCCTTCCCCCTCTCTGTTCTTCCCTTCCCACTGGGCTCCTTAGTTTTTGTCTCGTTTACTATCCGTAACCAGCTCCAAACTCCTCCTTGGGCTCATGGTGCCTTAGTTCTGCCTCTCACCGGCTACTTTTCTCTGCCCTGTTGGATCCCTTGGGCAGAAGGCAGGTGGGACACAGGGAGGGAGCTCCCCGCAGAGCAGGGAGATATTTTACAGTGTTCAGACCCATGTTCACACACAGTTAGGCTGGAAGAGCATCTTTCGCTCTTTCCATACCAACTTTTTATATACCAGGCTCCAGGAAAGGAAGGAGAGGGAGGAAGGAAACTATCCTGCCTATTTTGATTCTGCCAACACTAAACAACTAAGAGATCCCAGTACCTAGAGCATCCAAAATGGAAAATCTCATTCTACAAAAATGGGTCTCTCCTGCTCCTGACTTTAATGAGGATGTATTTTACCCACTTACCCAAAGCTTATTGCATGGCAAAAAATGAAACTGCAGTCCCTGTGAAACCAAACTGCAGAGGCTAGATGGTGACAAAGTGAATTGTGCCTCTGTACGACACACAAACTTATTATTTTAAGTAGTGTTTCTCCAGCTATGTTTACACCACAAAATCAACTGAAGCTGGGGAAGGTTGTATTTTCCTTCTGAATCAGCTGCATTAGCTGGGTGAAGAGCGTTGTGTTTGCCAGATACAGAATTGCTCAATTTTCAAGTCTTTTAGGAATACACCGGGGCGTGGCGGCAGAAAGTTCCCGGACCCTGGGAAGTGCTGCGTTGGGTCTGGAGCACGAGAAGGACATCTCCAAGGCAGGGCTGGTGAGGGCAGTCTGGAACCTTGAGCCAGGGGAAGGGACCCTGGAAGATAAAAGAGTGGGAGGAGGGAGTTGGGGGGTGGGAGGACTATTGCTGGTAGAGACAGAAACATGGCCCGAGGCCAGAGGATCACACATACCTACTCTGGCCAGAAGAGCTTTTTGGTTTTTTAAAGCCTCCAGGTCTGAGGCACCTGGGTGGCTTTGTAGATTAAGTATCTGCCTCCGGCTCAGGTCATGATCCCAAGGTCCTGAGATGGCATCTGGCTCACGGCTCAGTGGGGGGCCTGCGTCTCCCTCTGCCCCTCCCCCTGTTTGTGTTCCCTCTCACTGTGCTTCTCTCTGTCAAATAAATAAAATCTTTAAAAAAAAAGAAAAAAAAGAAAAGAAAAGAACTTCAGTTCCTCCGAGAGGGAAACCACATGCCTCTAACTCCTCCTTTGGGCACTGTAACATGTATTTTTCTGACAAGGGTGTCACTACTATTTATATATTGCCCCCACCATCACAACAGCTGAGGGGACCCAGCCCCAATTCCCACCACTGTTCCTAAAGCACATTCTGTACTCCGCCCCCAGCGTGTTTCTTTGAAGGCTCAGCAGTCACGGGACTTACTGCGCCCACTGGGAGTATTGGAAACGTATCTTTATCTCTAGCTTCTCCAGAAAAGTTGTGAATGGATCTCACTTAGAGTCTCCAAAAGATTTGCCTTGTGGCATTTCACAGTGAAAGTTGGAGGTCACAGCAAAGCTTGGTTCTGGTTTCTCCTTTCCCAGTCAAGTGAAAAGTATGGCACAACTTTATTTTAAGGATGTGGACTCTGTCTTTGTAAATAAATGTCCAGGCAGCCTACTAGACCATTGAAATCAAGTTCATAACCACGATGGTCTCGGTGAACCATTAGTGGCAGCTGGCAGCATGGAAATGGAAAAAGGAATATGAGACAGATCACGCCCTTGAGAATTATCAGTGGGGAGGGTGGAGACATCTAGAAATGACTGTAATATAAGGCATCTGTGACCAGCTATCCAGAGAGACACACGGGGGGGGGGGGGGGGGGGGGGGAGGAGAAAAATTTACTTCTTGACAGGCCCTCCGGGGATTACCATAAATTACTTTATGTAATCTTGGTTAAATTCCTTGATGTTTGCTTTTCCCTCATTAATGAAATGTTTGGGTTAAATTATGTCACAGGTGCCTCTGTGACAGGACTGTATTAATTCCTTCGGAGGTGCTAAATTTTAAAAAGATGATTGTGAATGGCAACAACCAGAAAAGATTATTATCTAAATGCAAAATGGGGGTGCCTGGGAGGCTCCAGAGGTTAAGTGTCTGCCTTCAGCTCAGGTCATGATCCAAGGGTCCTGGGATGGAGCCCCATGTCCAGACTCCCTGCTCAGTGGGGACTCTACTTCTCTCTCTCCCTCTGCTGCTCCCCGTTCTTGCACACACTCTCTTTTTCGCTCTCTTTCTCTGTCAAATAAATAAATCTTAAAAAAAAATAAGTGCAAAGCAAAATAACCCCAGTCCACACTCCAAGTCTTCTGTGGACACTGCAACGAGAAAAGCTGCCTCCTAAAATTCTCTGGTGCAGTTCTGAATCAAGTCATCGAAAGGCAACATCCTCATCTTGGTGGCGACTGATTACGCCAACGCCCTAATACATGGTTAGTTCCTTGAACCCCGCTCCAGGTCCCAGCTAAGTCATGAGGTACTTGGGTCCCACTCCACTTCAACAAGAACTACTCAACTTTGGTGTTTATCGGGATTGTGCATTAAATTTTACTGAGTGGAAAGGGGTTTGGTAGATAAATACCACTGGATTAGATCATCTCTCAGGCCTCTTCCAGCTCCAGATGATTTAGCTTCTCCGGAGAGGAGCCCGGCCTTGCGTGACCCTCCTTGTGTTTCTCGCCCAGGGTGGAGAACATGTCCATGCGGCTGGAGGAAGTCAATGAGAGGGAGCACTGCATGAAGGCCTCGCTCCAGACCGTGGACATCCGGCTGGCGCAGCTCGAGGACCTCATTGGGCGCATGGCCACGGCCCTAGAGCGCCTGACAGGTCTGGAGCGGGCCGAGTCCAACAAAATCCGCTCCCGGACCTCGTCCGACTGCACAGACGCCGCCTACATCGTTCGCCAGAGCAGCTTCAACAGCCAGGAGGGGAACACCTTCAAGCTCCAAGAGAGTATAGACCCTGCAGGTGAGGAGACCATGTCCCCAACTTCTCCAACCCTAATGCCCCGTATGAGAAGCCATTCTTTCTATTCGGTCAATATGAAAGACAAAGGTGGTATAGAAAAGTTGGAGAGTCTTTTTAAAGAAAGGTCCCTGAGCCTACACCGGGCTACTAGCTCCCACTCTGTAGCGAAAGAGTCCAAAGCTCCTGCAGCCCCCGCAAACACCTTGGCCATTGTTCCCGACTCTAGAAGACCGTCTTCGTGTATAGACATCTACGTCTCCGCCATGGATGAACTCCACTGTGATATGGACCCTCTGGACAATTCCATGAACATCCTGGGGCTGGGGGAGCCCAGCTTTTCGGCTCCAGCACCTTCCACAGCTCCTTCAAGTAGTGCCTATGCAACTCTTGCACCCACAGACAGACCTCCAAGCCGGAGCATCGATTTTGAGGACATCACCTCCATGGACACAAGATCTTTTTCTTCAGACTATACCCACCTCCCAGAATGCCAAAACCCCTGGGACACTGACCCTCCAATGTACCAGAGCATCGAGCGCTCCAAAAGTAGCCGCTACCTAGCCACCACTTCCTTTCTTCTAGAAGAGGCCCCCATTGTTAAATCTCATAGCTTTATGTTTTCTCCGTCGAGGAGCTACTACGCCAACTTTGGGGTGCCCGTGAAAACAGCAGAATACACAAGTATTACAGACTGTATTGACACAAGGTGTGTCAATGCCCCTCAAGCGATTGCTGACAGGGCTACCTTCCCTGGTGCCCTGGGAGGCAAAGTGGAGGATCCATCTTGCTGCCATCCTGAGCGAGAAGCAGAACTGAGTCACCCCAGCTCTGACAGCGAGGAGAACGAGGCCAAAGGCCGCAGAGGCACCATCACAGTACCCTCCCAGGAGGGTGATAACTCGGACAGAACCCTGTCCAACAACATCACGGTTCCCAAGATAGAGCGTGCCAACAGCTACTCGGCAGAGGAGCCAAGTGCGTCATATGCACACACCAGGAAGAGCTTCTCCATCAGTGACAAGCTCGACAGGCAGCGGAACACAGCAAGCCTGCGACACCCCTTCCAGAGGAGTAAGTCCTCCAAGCCAGAGGGACGAGGGGACAGCCTGTCCATGAGGAGACTGTCCAGAACATCCGCCTTCCACAGCTTTGAAAGCAAGCACAACTAAACCTTCTTAGTCAGCACTGCAGGAGGCTCAAGAATCCAGCCCTGAAATCCTCCCTGAACTCCACCTATTCCCCTTCCTTGAAGCTTACCTGCTGTATTCTTAGCTGAGCAAAACAAGCAATGCCTTGGGAGGTGTTAGCTCGAAGGTGACCTCTGGGCCGCAGATCAAGAAAGCACTTGGTCTAGCCCAGTGCCAAACACGGGGGCTTTAAGTCATGTTCACACTCGATGGGTAGGGTGGGAAAAGAGGGAGAAGAAGGGGTGCGGTGAGTGTGTAGGTCTAGCGACTTCAGAAAGCCATGAGCTCTGGGAATGAAGGGGCTTCAAGCACTCTCCATGCCAGGAGGCATCTTTCCATTTCTGACCATTATCAAGAGTTTTAGGATACAGGGCTAAATTGCAAAATAAGATAAAATAAAGTAGCCAGCATACAAATGAGATATTCTAAACTTCAATTCTGTTTTCTTTTCACATTGGCTCCATCACTGGTGACTGATGAAGAGCATCCTTTTTATTCAGTATAAGCCGGCAGCAAGCAGTTCTACCTAACGTCCCACATCCTTCTCATGCCAACACTTCTGTAATTGATCATTATAAAGAAAAAACAAGGTAACAGTCATAGTTCACCTGTCTCTTCTATATTCACTTCTGGTGCCACAACTGTTTATCTTTTTTGAAGAAAATAAAGGGAACAGAAATGCCTTTTTGTGTTGCAAGCAAAATGAAAGCTTTTTGTGTTGCAAGCAAAATGAAAGAAGAATTGAGGCTAAAAACAAGGGTCAAGTAGTTTATTATAGACAGTGGGCATTCGAGTATAGTCGAGCAAGCTCAGGATGAATGTAATTAAATAATTTTATATTTTTAATTTATTTTGTATCTCACTTGTCATCAATGAAGTCACTCACTGAATCTGTGATAGTGAACTGAAAGAAAGAAACATATATAGTGGGCAGAACTCACTAAAATTGCCATGTGGTATACTGTCACATTCTCACCCTTCGTGTCCCGTGTCATGCTGCTGTGTGATTGTCATCATTTGCATGGCTCCACCATGTCTTCTGAACATCTCCAAGATGTACCTAGAAATTCTTCACACCACTCATCACATGACCATTTTGTATATGAAGATCTGATCACACGTGGATATTTTCATACCTAGAGTTTTGCCGTTTAATCTGAGCTCAGCATAAATTTAATTGGAGTTTTTCAAGGGCTGGTATCTTTTTTATGGAAATGTTCCAAAGTACTTTTTAAGGAAGTTTCAAATCATAAATAACCTTAGAATTGACTGGGAATTTGGTACAACCCAAAGCCATCAGTTGCAGGCCTACCATGAATATTTTTCTTATATGTAGAGCTATAAAAATGATAGAGTAGACTCAAGTAGAAAGCAAACCACATAAAGACTTCTATAGTATATGCTGCTTATATACCTATATATGCATTTACACAGAGACATGTTTATATATAGTATATAAACAGGCATATAGAGCTTTCTTCAGAGGCTTGGCCTTTTCTATCACCTTGAGGTATAAACCAGGATTTTTAATATCCAAGGAGTTCCATTGAAAGAGTTCATTCTGTTATGTTGGATTTTGATAGATGTTGAAATTATGTTTTTGGTTTTTTTTTTTAAATCCCTATGACCTTAACTCTTCCTTGTACCAAACTAAAGTTGCCAAAATGACTGGCTACCTGCCCTTTGCTTCTTTTCTGTCCGGAAACACTTGCTGCGATGACATCTTATTTAGTCTGGTTTCTCCTGCACGAAGTGATTACGCTGAGCACAGTCTGAATTAGACATGCAGTTCTAAGCCAGGTAGTATTACGGACTCTTTAATACAGACGTACGCTACTAGGTTAGAATCTGGATTTGAAGGGGAATAAAGAAATATTGACCCTCAGATCTTCCAATTCCTTCTTGTGTCCCTGATTTTCAAAAGAATAAAATCTTTAAGGAAAATGACCTAATGTTCTTGGCCCCCAAAATAGTATGTGGTTCTCCCGTTGAGTTGTCATTGGGAGCTCCAAATTTTCTCATTATGTGAAGTCAAGTAAATATGTGGACTAAAGCTGTAGCCTGTAAGGTTTTTGTGTTTTTTTTTTTAAACCCCTCTGAACAAACCTTTTGGCTATAGAAATAGTTATGAGGCCACATACAAAGAATTAAAGAATTCCTTCTCACTCTTTGGCATTTGAGTAAATTGGACACAAGCAACCAGACTCCCTCGTGTGTGACTGCTCTAGAAATGCTTACATTTTTATTGAGCCCCACATTGGCTGTTTCCCTTTCAGCAAATAGGCATTTGGTCTGAGAATAAATCAGTTGCCCTTAAACTTCCTTGAGTCATGCATCTCAGTGAGAATCTGATGAAAGCTCTGGACCCTCTCACCAGAAAAAAATGTATATACATGCAGCATTGCAGTGTAACTTGAAAGGGTCCATGAACCCTTGGTTCCACGTTGCTTGATAATGAGGAAGAGGAACCATGTTTGTTCATAATCAATATGAAATCCTAATAGGCACTTTACATTTGAGACCATTTCTCTGTGATTCTCAGGAAGGCCAAGTCTCAGCACCAGAGTTGGAACCAAGATTTTGTTCTTTTCGTCCCTTAGATTGTATTTTGCTAGTTTGATATACTTGTATCCTAATGTTTGATGATTTAAGAAGCCAGAGGCTCTCTGAGTGAGTCTGTAGAGGAATCCAGGAAGGAGGCGAAACCATTATTCTTTGACCACAGAGCAGGACATCATGGTACCTCTAGGGCCCCATTCTGGACCAGACGGAAAGCGAGGGAAAGAAATTATGTGCACAAGTGTTTCCATTCATCATGATTTCTGGAGAGAGCAGAACAGGACCGGGGAAATGCAGTCCTTGCCAGTCCAGACCTCGTGACTGCCTGGTCCTTTTGTCGTACAGGAAAACGAAGCTCTTACATCTTTCATGACGTGTGCAAAATATATAAGCCAAATTTAAATTACTTTAAACATAAACCGTGCAATTCTCATGAGCCATTTCTTTCCTGTGCACATACATGCTTATTCTGTTTCAACCCATTTCTTCCCATTTCTGGGTTCTCCACGCCCCGACATGGCATTGACTCCATGGTCTTGTGCAGTCAAGCTCGTGTTCAGCTCATTTATTCCATCCCATCCCTGATCAAGGGGACGTTAATTACCTGTCTCTATGAGTTAAGCAGCTCATGAGCAGCACATTATTGAGGAACATAAATAAAGTCAGAGAGAGCTCACAGCAGTAATAGCTTTGGTTTCATCATCTGCTTCTGAGGTGCCAATTTTTACATGCTACTATACGTCATGATTTGTTCTAAGTCACTTGTTCCTTTTGAAAAAAAAAAAAAGAAAGAAAAGGGTGTTTTATGAAAATGGCCATGGAAATTCCCTGATTGACCCACATACTTACAGTTAGAAACTTCGTCCTTGCATGATTTGAATGAGGGGCTGGAAAACTTGGGCACAAATGCCATGGCTAGTTCATACATTTCTGCAAGCCAGAGGCGTATTAGCAGGCAGAACACAGCACTTTACCAGAACTGGCTTTACTTTTAAGTCTAAACTTCCAGGTCTAGGATATATATTTAGCACTTTGAAAGTTCCCCTTAAAAGAAAAAAAAAAAATATATATATATATATATATACATATATACACAGACACACACACATATGTATGTATATATATGTGTCTGTGTGTGTGTATATATACACATACACATATATATGTGAATATATATATGAATAATCCAGTGGGAAAAATGTACTTATAAAAACACACAGTGTGTTTCTTCTGAATGTTTCAAATGTATTCTAAAAGATGGTTTCTATAGATAATATTATGGTAGATAACTGGATAGTACATTAATTCGACTTTCTGAGGCTCTGCAGTCTAATCTTCCTGAATGTTTGGCTGTGTGACTTCTGTCTTGGCAATCAGTATTATCCAGTCATCCATCATGCACCATCTATAGACTGTACCATTCAATGTGTCGAGCAATGCTGTATTATAAAACACGTGTACACATATATGTAACCCATGTTTCACCCGGCATAGTTGTGGCATGTGGTTGTATTAATGAACGTTACAGGACAGCTTTATAATCATCGGCCAGTCTGTAACATTCAATAAAGAAGCACATGTTGCAAGGATTAAGTATGTTCCCAATTCCACGTTATTCAGCATCCTCGCAAAATGAGCACTTTGGTTCCCGATCTGCTTTATGGTTTTCGCAGTCCTCTAACCCTCAAGGAACTACTTGCCTCGGCCGAGGTCCGTCCTCTAACCAGCCCTGTGAGCCGTGGTAGGAAAGTTGGGTTTTGCGAAATGCGAACTGGCCTGTGATGCGAAAGACTCTGTGACAAATGAACTTAAGATCATATTTTCAACTCCAGTGGAATTAGCTGTTTGTTTACATCTGCTAACCCCCTGCAGAAGCAGTGTACAGTATTTTATAAATATGTTCATTCAGTAACACTGATACGTTTGTTTCTAGATGAAGTGATGCTAGTGTGTAGGTAGTTATATATGTTCTCGATATTGCATCTGACTCATTATTCTTTAACGATAGCAATGTAACTTAAACGAAGTAATCCCTCTCCAAACCCAGTCTTAATTTGTGGCAACAAATTGCATGCTCTGCTTTATGCGTTTCTTTTGACTTTTTAAAGACACTTAATATTTGACTATTGCCTGCTGTAACACTTAACCCAGCTAGGAATTCGCTCACATTGTTGGGCTTCTTATACTGTTTGGGGATTATGTTTGATTTTTAAAAATTAAAAACAAAAAAGTAACCAAGGGTTTTTTTTTTTAATCTTATTTTAAGCTCCAAACAAATAATATGAAATAAAGTATTAACCACAGGGTGTGTAGCTAGGGGACCCAGAGATGGCTGGCCGACACTGTGCGGGTGTTGGCGCATCTGTGATGTAGGAAAGACACATTTCTGATCCTTTAGGGCCACTGGGTGCAAATCGCGAAGCCAGAGAGAAGAGTGAGAAGTCCATTCAGACAGTGCAGAAAGCCACAGAGCATTATGAATGAGTGGCCCAATGACGCCCGTGTCCTCCCTCCTACCTGGTGGCTTTTCTACCTTGTGTGCGAGCCTAGTCCAGGGGAGAGCGAGGGATGGGTGACTGGCGGTCTGATCAAGAACCGGGTGACTGAAGAAGGTTGCCCTTTAAAGAAATCACCATGTCATTATCAGAAGCCTCTCTTTTCCATTTGGAAAAGAGAGAAGCCACTTTGCACAGTCTTATAAATGACTGCTCTTCCAACAGGGAGAGAAAACTTCTCCCAGCCTCTGTGGGCCTAAGCTTTCTCTTTCCTTTCCATGTCAAACGTTCTCTTTCCCCAGATCAGAGTCAACCAAAGCAGGGCTTGGTTCTGATTTAAGGAAAACAAGATTTTTTTTTCTTTTCTTTTTTAATCCACTCGCAAAAGCCATTTTGTTACCTTTTCTCTGATGAGTTCCTTGCGCTGGTCGCTGCTATGACATCAAAACATGACGATCTCTATATGTCTGTCTGAGAAAGGGTCTCGGTGGCCACGTAATCCGCCTGGCAGTAAGAGTGAGGTGAATTTTCCCTTCCCTACGTTCCCTTGTCTGCCAGCCCCCTTAAGCCTCCAGCCCCTTGCCTGTCTGCATAGCGTATATGTGCTGGAAAGTGAAAAGGGCACACATGGCCACAAGTCGTTGGGCT